TAAATAGAAGTGAGCATGACCAGATAGTACACCCTCCAAATATTTTCTGCTAAAAATATGTAAACCATGGTAGTTTGGRGGAAATTACCAGAATTCCACAAGAACATTTCAGGATTAGATCTTAACTTTCTATTTAATGAAATTACTTGTGCAATGTGAAAGACACGAATGTTTCTTTTCATTTGTTTTATCTGTGAGTTTAGTAAATATAGCATGCTTATGTATAAGTACCTGAGGGGAGAATGTAGGGAGGATGGGGACAAACCCTTCTTGGTGGTGGTCAATGACAGGACAAGGACTTAGGGGTGAAAAATAAAACACCAGAAGTTCCAYCTCCTTGTGAGGAAGAACTTCTTTCCTGTGAGAGCGACAGAGCCCTGGCACAGGCTGCCCAGGGAGGTTGTGGAATCTCCTTCTCTGGAGGTCTCCAAATCCGCCTGGATGCCGCCCAGTGCCCCGTGCTCTGGGTGTCCCTGCTGGAGCAGGGGGTTGGACTAGATGATCTCTACAGGTCCCTTCCAACCTTAACCATTCTGTGATTCTGTGATTACTTTGTATATTAAAAAAAAAAAAAACATTGGGCCAAGGTTATTAGGTGCACCTCTATAGCAAGAGAAGAAAGCAAGCAATGGAGATAACAGAATTACAAGACCTGGGAGCTGCAGAGATAAGGTAGGGAATTGGTCCTTTTCAAAGCTATTTAAATTTGTTACCAGTCTCTAGTTCATGGCAGTAGAGCAAGTACAAGAAGGCATTTACAAATGATGGAAAATAAAGTGCTGGTAGGCGGTGTATTTTTCCAGATGTGCCTGACTGGAAGGAAAGTTGCATTTATTAGTCAGGATCCTTTTTTTCGGATTTTGTGCATCAGACAAAGACAGTAGCAAGATATCATACATAGGGATAGTTGTGAGTTAAAGCTGTCTAAGCTTTATTTTAAGAATAAAATTGAAGTACTTCATTAAAAAAGACTTAAAATGTGTTATGTTCTTAGAGACTTAAAGAMTTCTCTGACACTAAAAATGAATGCACAAACTCCTATGGAAGAAAAAGTATTAAGATATAAAGTCTTATTTGAGTCATTTCTAAATTACTTTAAAGTCTTGCAGTTTAGCCTAAATAATAGAGAAATTATTAAAAAGTTGAAAAAAGATTCAGAGTTAGATTCCAATCTTACAACACTGTAATAGGAAGAACTAATGTCAGACTCCCTCATGTAAATGAAAGATACTTTGAAAACTAAATTCTTTCTTGAATAAGTTCTTTAATATAATGAATATTAGCTTTTATGCATATGTTAATTTTGTAGTTTAAGCATAATGAAAAACCCTTGGGACATAAGATTTTATGAGACCTATCTGTCTCATYTTACCTCTTAAAATTTTAGTTTTTTTAACTTATAACTTATTCAGTGTGAAAGTTTTATAAYCATAGCTTTGTTAAACTGTTGGAATATGAAGAGGATAATTTTTAAAAAACTTCACATGGCAGGCGCATACCCAACATAACCTTAGATAAATAAAGGAAGCTTAAGCTACTGTTCTTTTATGGTCCAAACACACCTTGCCTCAGTATCCCTGACTTGCTAATGAAACTACTCCTCCTTTCTATTATACAGTTCTTSTTGTTGTCATTATTAAAGCAGAATATGGCATGATAATTTAAAAAAGGAAGAGAAAAGTAAGGGTAAAAAAAAATACAAACCAAATACTCTGGGAAATATACTGCASAGCAATAAAATACATCTAGTGTATTCATGGGAATACACTTGTCTATAAAATGCTGWTATCACACACCTCTGATTAAGAGACTTAGAAATTCATGCTTAAGTCTTACTCAWCCAGAGTCAGAATCAGGTTACTACCCTGGGAAACAACCCTGATGATGTCACTTTTTTCCCCCCACATTTTACTTTTCTTGGTTTTCTAATTCCTCCTTTATAAACTACATTGAATAAAAATATCTGTATTAAATAAGGTTGAAATCAAGTAGGCAAGAAGTGTTTTTCTTGGAATGTGAAGGAACAAAACTTCCTTATTTTCTCTAAATTCAGTCCATATAGCCATTTGGCAGCTCATTTCCTTATTTCCAGGACAGAATTCTCAACYAAGTGCAGTTTTCTCCAGCAGCAGAACAATTGGGTTCTGGCAAAACTGAAGAGGAACAAGTTCCCTCAGTTACAAAACTCACTGGATCTGCCATCTCTAACATTGGGCCTAGGCAAATTTCCTGGAAAATTGGGGAGAGGCTCAAAGAACAGAATAAGTCCCAACAAAAAGCCGACAGAAAAAATCATTCATTTTTACCAGATAACATGTTACCCTTTCTTATATCAAGCCCCAAGTTCAAATCCAGTCTGCTTTTGCAATATCTACATCTGAACAAAAGATATAATGTGGTTTAGCTTTCATAAAGAAAAATAAAATAAAAAGGAGAGCTTGGGCCTTTTCTTTTCTTTTGTGTTTTTTTTTTTCTCTTTTATTTAATCTGTAGGAAATGCGACACATACATTTCCTCAAATAAGTAGTTCAAAAGTATCATTTACAACAGGCAAGCTGCAAGAAATAACAGAATACAAAAAACGCTTTGGAGCAATAGTTTGGGATCATACAGTGCTTTTTGAATGCAATGATAAGAGGTCTTTTCAAAAGAGAGGACAAAATGACGGAAGTGTATTGACTGAAAGCAAAGATCTGCCTTTTTGTTATTCGATATGTTGTTAAAAGCTTTTGACATTAGAACTAGTTATATATAAATGATGCACTCTGCAAGAACTGTCCTTAGTCTAAGAAAAGTAGCAGCAGCCTGTCAAGACAGCAAGGCAAAAATAAGGCTAATTTAAAACCTGCCAGGAAGATAGAGCCCTCCCAGTGAGATTCTCTATGATCAGCACGTCTTAGATGTGAGTTCCCATCCAAAGTCTAAGCTCTGTAGTGGAGTAACAGCTTCAACTCAATCGATTTCATAGCCCTCACTTATGCCAGAATTGAATTACATCTACTAAAGAGCAAAACTTTATCAATGTCTGTTGCTGAAAAAGCAAGTCACAGCAGCTGAGTCACACAGAAGCTTAACTGAGACTGTAACCAGGGCAATTCACTATTAAAACATTCACCTGGCAAAGAGAGCAGAAAACTCTAATCAAGTTTCAATAGGATTACATCAGCAATTAGACCCAGGAGTTTATATTCTCTGCTGTATCATCATCTGAACAGAGATTTATACCTCTACAAAATACCTACCAGGGAGATTTTAAACAAGATCAGAATAGCAGCATTTTATATGGTAGTATAACAGCACAAAACACATTATTACTTTAGAGACTGTATTTTTACAGCCTTTCTGGACCATGCATATAAGTCTCCTGGCTGAATTTTCAGTATTCCTGAGTCCGGGCCCCTGCTACCAAGGCACCTATCACTCCTTCATTTGCTTATCATTTGCATCATCATCTGCAGTGCACATGGGTATTTTTTACATATATACTATGCATATGTGTATACACAGAAATCCAGCTTTAATATATTACATAACATCCAACACTTTTATTTTTTATGTTCACTAGTAGCTTTTAAGAGTTCTGCTACTCTTTTATGCTGGTATCTGTGGGTTCCAGAGACCAAGAAGCTTCTCCTCCTGTTTTGCTGGAAAGCACAGTCATTTCTCCTTTGTACCAGAGAAAGACCATCAGGTTCAATCAGGAGGACTGTTGCCAGCAGGTCAAGGGAGGTGAGTCTGCCCCTCTACTCAGCTCTAGTGAGGCCGCACCTGGAGTACTGTGTTCAGTTCTGGGCTCCCCTGTACAAGAGGGACATGGAGCTTCTCGAGAGGGTCCAGAGAAGAGCAACCMGGATGATTAAGGGAATGGAACATCTCTCGTACGAGGAGAGACTGAGTGAGCTGGGCTCTGGAGAAGAGAAGGCTGAGAGGGGATCTGATTAATATGTATAAGTTCAGGAAGGGAGAATGYGGGGAGGAAGGGGACAGGCTGTTTTCACTGGTGGCCAGCGATAGGACGAGGGGTAATGGCCATAAGCTAGAGCACAGGAAGTTCCATCTCCAGGTGAGGAGCAACTTCTTTACTGTGAGGGTGACAGAGCCCTGGAACAGGCTGCCCAGGGAGGTTGTGGAGTCTCTTTCTCTGGAGGTCTTCAAAACCCGCCTGGATGCCACCGTGTGCCACATGCTCTGGGTGTGCCTGCTTGAGCAGGAAGGTTGGGCTAGATGATCTCTAGAGGTCCCTTCCAACCTTGAATATTCTGTGATTCTGTGATTCAATGGCACATTGTAGAGCATGTGCTGAATCAGCAGCAAAGACCACAAGAATTCTTAGCCACTCCTGTTTGACTGAAACAGCCCTGCCACTGTGTAAGTTCCTTATAAAAGCTAACCTTGTTGCACAGTCTCCAAAGCTGTAATTTCCTAAGGTGCCAGAAAAAGATATCACATTGTCTTACGGTTTTCAGAATTTGCAAAGGTTAGTTCATAATAACTGTTCTTCCTCGGACTTCTCATACATAATCTTCCTTTCTTAACTAGGAAATAGTATGCAAAACATCGTTACAGATATGCCAGTTTTAGAAAGGTTTCCTCAGAACTCAGATTTGTTCTCAGGTAAAGAACAAGCCCCAAAGTACAACTTCATCTCCTTTCCAAGGGAACAGAGTTCAAAGTATAGGACAACCAGGAGCTTTCAACTTGTGAACACACTAAAGGAATCAAGGAAAAGGCTTAATGACTTTCTATACTGAGTTACTGTTCAGGAAGACACTAAATGAATCAGAGAATGAGATTTTACTTCGTATAACTTCAGACTCTTAKCCCAGCACGCATTTAAGGTAAATCATCTGATCTGTTTTAGGAGATGGATTGTCCTCTAGAACCCTTACTCCTTTCTTTTTCTTTTCCAGTAGGTAGACCCTCACATATCAATCTAGGATTTAGATGTCTAGCTTTTAGATGCTTAAGCTGTAACAGATGAGTCAGTAGTGGATTAATACCCAGTCCACTCCTCTTCAATATATTCATCATATTCAAAAGCCACCTGGATGTGGTCCTGGGCAATATGCTCTAGGTCACCATGCTTGCACAGGGAAACCCCTACCTGATCTTCAGAGGTCCCGTCCAACCGTAACCGTACCTTGATATCACCTACAGCTATCACCAGCATTGCTTCAAACGCTACATAGTTGAAGCTGAGCTATCACAAGGCGTATCAGTGAATTCAGGGCTTGGGAAAACAGACTCTAAAACAMGCAATAAAACAGATTTCTTCCTTTCTTCAAGCTGTTTCTATTGCTACTCTACAGCCTTCTCAAATCTGCTGTCCCTGAGGCCTTTTACAGCTCTGAAGATTTCATCTCTGATTTTTCTTCAGCTCAAACGATCGTCTTTGCCAGGATAACATCTTTAGGATGAGTGACAACAACCCATGTGAAGCTGCAGTGGAGCCTAGGGCTGAAACTCACATCTCTGCAGCTTTTGTGCTAAGTTTTACAGCACCGCTGAGCAGTCCTACACTGTCATCACTGAATGGCAGACTCTGGGGAAAAATGAAGCCCTACTGCCTTCCACACTGTCAATCTGCACTCAAGGCTAATGGCACAGATACTTTCAAACATTAATTTCAAGACAAATAATATACCATAAGCCAAAGACACCACCACCCACTATCCCCTCATCCCCCTACTACCAAGGGGAGAAAATAGGGCCTGATGTTAAGAACTGTCCACAAATGCCTTTCTCTTTTCCATTCTGAAGAAAAAGGTAGCTTTTCCCCACATCAATCATTGACTTTTTTTCAAGGAAGCAAAGAAAAACGGAAGTTAACACTCTTTAACTCATTTTTAGCAGACATGTAGGTCAATCCAAATCCAAAGGTCCAAATCCAAGAAACTCCTCAAACACTGAGAACAACCAAGCAAGCAGCATGGCTTTGTAACCTTCCCAGTTCACTCTGGATTAATTACAAGCCTGGCAGGAATTCATAAGGCATTCCACAGTACAGCAACAACAATTATTCTTAACTGTAGGCCCAGCTGGTTCCTAATCTTAAACCAGCAAGAGTTTTGCTAATAACAGTAGCAATAGCAGAAGAATAAATACCTTCATTCAGCACAATCATTACTTACTTGCATCCATCCCACTGGCATAATTTAACATGCACTCTTTATCTTATCTACTCTCCTCATGTCTCCCAACAAGTGTATCCAGGATATAAGACACTAGGGGATGTTTTAAATAACTGCATTGTTCCCATATGGCAGAAGATTTGCTGAGTAATGCTGGGAGCATTGAATTAAAAACAAACTCATGAAAGGTCTCCTTTAATTAGATTTACTCACAGGTTGAATATAAGCTTTTGTGTCGAGTTAAGGAATAGGATCAGCCATACAAATACTGGAAACAGTGATTGATGTCAAAAGAGAAGATCTCAGAGCAGGTATCTAGAATTTAATTTTTATAAAATGAATAAAAATATAGTTACAGTAGTATAGTTTTCAAAGAAAAGAAGGGGAAAAAAAAGACTGTAATATAAGTGTAAATTAATTGAAATGTGAAAGCTGAATGTCTCCAGGCTGTCAGTTCAGAATACTTGAACTTGCTAGAAATTAACTGGAAAACAAGTTGTGACATTCTGTCAAAACTCAMCTGCAAGTGGAGAATATTTATCAAATAACCTTTGCTCATCCTGTTACATGTTTCTGTTGTATGTTATATCATGAAAAATAGAAGATTGAGGTTATTTTCTTAGAGTAGTGAAAAAGAATCTGTTTAATAGACCCCAGCTAAAAAACGTATTTTGCAACTCTAACGTGTATTTATTACACCTAGTATTTTTAGGAACGTAGAGTAACATTTTAAAAAGTGTCCAAAAATTTTTACTGGCCAGCCTTTGAGTTCTTTTGAAAAGTTTTCCTGTAGTTTAACTAAAATGTGCAGAACAGCAGTTGTAAACCGTGACCGGTCCTTGAGTCACAATTCCATGAAAGTGTGATTTAGAAAACAGCCCTTTGCTGTATTCTTCCTCCTGTGCTCGATTTTAATCTCTCAGCTCCCTCTGACTGTGAGCAACATTGGAGGTTCTTGCAGAGAGCTACTTATACTACCTTATACTACTACTTATATTTGCTTAAATGAAAACAATATGTATATTATACTGGAATTCTTAAAGATAATCACTATTGCACTTCTTATAAAACTTTTTAAATTGCCTATCAGTTCTCCTTTTTTTTTTTTTTTTTGTTTTGCAGTAATACATTTTATTTTTTGATGCATAATTTTCGGCAGAATATTGTTGTACAACCTTTGCAAAGTCTTCAGAAAGCATTGCTATTTCTGGAAACCTAGACTTTTGTAACTTAAAGCACTAAATATCTTCTGATTGTTTAAGGAACAAAGCTATGTTTTTGAGAAAAAAATATGCTTTATTTCCAGTTGGCAGGTGGGAGGAAGATGTTTTAGAAATTTCCCTCAGATATTAGACATTTGGTGGTCATTTCTTGTGTGATGTTAGCAGAAGAATTGGCTCATCTCACACAAGTTGTGACTCATTCTCTACTTCAGATTTTATTGGTACAATTGTTCAGGTAAATGTAAGRCATTTTATTGCCAAGTTAAATGACATGACTTGTGTTAAAAGTGTGTGAATTGCTTTATTTATTGCAGCAACCTTAAAAATAATAGATTTCTAGTGCAGGCCAGATCTTAACCCTGTCTTCAGCAACTGGCACTGTAGCAGAAGCTTTTCACCATGCAGCCTTTGAGAAGGCTTTGACTGACCAGGAAACATAGAAATAGGCTACACTCTCCTCTTAACTTTATGAACAGCTGAACATCTGAAACCACTGAAGAAAAACTAGTTAGTGAAAGTAAATATTCAACTGATATGTGAAGTCAAGGACTTTGGCCATGTGTGCAAGGAGAGTATGTCCTACCTGCAATTCGGGAAAGGAAAGGGAAAGGAAAGGGAAAGGAAAGGGAAGGAAGGGAAAGGAAGGGAAGGGAAAGGGAAAGGGAAAGGGAAAGGGAAAGGGAAAGGGAAAGGGAAAGGGAAAGGGAAAGGGAAAGGGAAAGGGAAAGGGAAAGGGGCATTAAAAGAGATTATGTCCTAAAATCACAGAATTACAGAATGGTTAAGGTTGGAAGCGACCTCTAGAGATCATCTAGTGCAACCCCCTTGCTCCAACAGGGACACCTAGAATGTGTGGCACAGGGCGGCATCCAGACAAGTTTGGAAGATCTCCAGAGAAGGAGATTCCACAGCTTCTCTGGGCAGCCTGTTCCAGGGCTCTGTCACACTCACAGGAAGGAAGTTCTTCCTCACGTCGAGATGGAACTTCTGGTGTTCCAGTTGTACCCACTACCCCTTGTCCTGTCACTGGCCTCCGCCAAGAAGAGTATGTCCCCATCCTCCCTACATTCTCCCCTCAGATACCTATACATATTTATCAGATAGCCTCTCAATCTTCTCCAGGCTAAGCAGGCCCAGCTCACTTAGTCTTTCCTCATAAGATAGATGCTCCAGTCCCTTAATCATCTCTGTTGCTCTACGCTGGGCCCGCTCTAGAAGTTCCATGTCCCTCTTGTCCTGGCGAACCCAGAACTGCACACAATACTCCAGGTTAGGCCTCACCAGAGCTGAGGAGCGGGGCCCTCTGCTCACCACCTCCCTCCACCTGCTGGCAACACTCCTCCTGGTGCAGGCCAGGATCCCAATGGCCTACTTGAAGGCACACTGCTCCCTCATGGTTATCTTGGTGTCAACCAGGACTCCCAAATCCCTCTCTATGGAGCTGCTTTGCAGCAGGTCAACACTTAATCTGTACTTGTRCCTGGGGTTATTCCTCCCCAGRTGSAGMACCYTGCACTTGTCCTTGTGGAAACTTATGAGGTTCCTCTCTGCCCAACTCTCCAAGCTGCCTAGGTCCCTCTGAATAGCAACATTGCCCTCTAGAGTGTCATCCACTCCACCCAGTTTGGTATCTTTTGCAAACTTTCTCTGTGCCATCTCCAAGTCATTGATGAACAAGTTGAACAGCACTGGGCCCAGTACTGACTCCTGAGGGGCACCACTGGCCACAGGCCTCCAACTGGACTCAGCTCCATTTATCGCAACCCTCTGAGCTCTGCAAGCCAACTAGTTCTCAATACACCTCTTGGTCTACTTATCCAATCCACACTTCTTGAGCTTTCCCATAGGGATTTTATGGGAGATAACGTTGAAAGCTTTGCTGATGTCAAGGTAGACAATATCCATGGCTCTCCCATCCTCCATCCAGCCAGCATGAGATCAATGTTTCAACTGTGTTTCTAAAGGATAATTAGATCAAAAGCCTAAGATAAGGCGATCTAAAGCTCTGTGAATGTTGCAGAAAGCCAGAATTGTGCAGCTAAATGGAGGACATCTCCTCATCATGCTGTGCTCGTGTGAAATTAGTCAGGCAAATAGTCACTGTTGTTACATTTCTTGCAAGTAGTTCAATAAACAGATTGTAAACAGCACCTCACTTGCCCTCAGAGGCCAAAAGTTGAAGTAGGAAATTGTCTAAAAAATCTTAAGGGCTTTTTTTTATGTATGATCTTTACTGACTTCACTTGTTGCTTAGGACATCTGCCTCATTCATTACGAAAAAAGAAAAAAAAAAAGAGTATTAACTGAATGCACAGAAACTCCAGATTTTTTTCATCTGAAAAATATTATATACCTTTTTTTTTTTTAATTGACTACCCTTAAAACTCTGTTCTGAAGAGATGATTAAATTCCTCTGGCTGGCCTATGATGCTTTTCCTTATACTAGCTTAGAGTTTCATAAGCTGTATTTTATTTTTCTAGACTTTTCCAAGGAAGGATTTGTACCCTTTGCCAGAAACTCTGCTGGTAATGCTGTCTGATTCAATACTGATCTTACAACGGAATCAAGGAACCCATAAACTTGAGTCTCCTTTACACATATCGCAAACGTGAATCATCCCAATGTTAGGCGCAATCCTGCATACCAGGGAACTAGAAAGCAATCACAACTATGGCATATTCTAATTTTTAACTGTGCAGCATTGCCACCTTAAGAATCAAAAAATAAATTTCTATGTCAACAACAAAAAGAAAGACAAGCATATCACCATGTGGCACCACAGACTTTCAGCAGAATTTTGGAGTGAAATGGACCCTCATGGAGTCCTGCATAAAAACCTACATTCCTCTCTCCAACAAGCCTTATATAGTATCTTTCAGTGTACAAGCACCAAAGGCATTTTTAAAAGAGATGCTAGAGCTTTGCATGTAGCTTTTTGTTGGATTGCTTATCTGGAGATATTGCATGTATCTTTGGTTGATTCAAGCAGATTCACATTTAAGTCTTTGAGACATCATAGTTTAAAGAAACAGTCTCCCAAACATTTCTGGTCATTGCTTTGTTATGTTTTGAGTCAAATCAACCCTTGAATTGGCCTCATCATGGCCTCAAGTTACTCTTCTAAGATAACCCTGAAACATCTTCTCCAAGACTGGTCTCTAACCATCTGACCAGAAAAATCCCATTGAAACTACATAAAAGGAACCTTTGAGGTTCTTACTTGTGTTAGCCAGAAATCTAATAATCAGACAAGTGTAACTTGAAAGCACCTTCAGAAAGCTTTAGGCGGCTGCTTAACTTTCACTAGTTGTTTAATTATCTGTATGTTCTGTTCTGATTTTAGGACTAGTTTATGGCTGCAATAYGGAGAAGGCCAAGAAAGAGGTCAGGACATTAGTGTACACATGACATAACATTTGGTGAGATATCTCCTGATCTTGTTTCCTCTCCAGAAAATTACCATCAAAGCCTCATTTTTCTTTCAGATTTTGTAGATAGTCCAGAGAGGAGGAGGTATATATGCTTTTAAGAAGTGCAGTGGACCCTCATGAACATGTCCACACAGTCCTCTGCTTGAAGATACTATACAACACATGGTAGAGATGTTTTTTTTTTTCAGAATGCTTTTCATCAGCCTATTAAAGTGGGTGACAAGATCTATAGCAGTGTTAAAAGACTATAAGGAAATGAAGATACTTTGGCCTGAAGAAGTAAAATAARTCTATTATGCTAAAGATAATGTAACTGAGCATTTGCTGCTCTGTGTCAATAATTGGAGCCTATTTTGTTTATGTTTTGGTATATGGGGTTCATGTAGTTCTATAGAGAATCTTTTGTATCGTGTTTTCAATAGCAACAATAGTAAAAATGAAATAATATTTCTATCCTGTTCACCATGGCACCTACTGTTCATATTTCACAAGAAAAAGTGAAATGATAAAATGTTATTTCTAATTCTCTTGGGGGGAAATCAAATCTGTCTCAAATCATGTTAATGTAAATTACTGTGGCAAATGTGACATCTCTGTCTGAGAGCATGTTAATGTAATTTACTGCAGTGAATATCACATCTCCATCTGCTAAAGCAATCTGTTAAAATTCACTACATTATTTTCTTCAAGAGGCAGAGGCCTTTAATCTTTCAGGTTGTTGTTCTTTAAGTTCCTTCTGATGAAAATAGCATCTAGCATGTGATGATGACTGACAACATTTGATCAAATTAGAAATGGAGTGTGTAAATTCCTAGTTCGTAAATACACTTTTTCCAGCTCTCTGTAAAATAACAGCTGGTAGGAAGTTAAGGGCAGAATTTCAATTACTCAAAGCATTCAATTTCAGACAGTGTTTTATTATGAGTGGTAGATAAAGACCAACACTCTGAGGGTAATATGATAAACCTCCTATATGCCTAAATTATGTCAAATTTTAACAGTTTTTTACTTATAGGTCGATGATTCAGAAGTGAAATACCCTAACCTGAGAATCTACTTTTATTTTTCTTTTTTTTCTGAAAGAACGTAATTTTTATGACTATTTCCTTGTTAGGGTTTTATAATATCTTTATAAAGAGTAAAATATAACACCTAGCAACTACCTCTAGGAAATCACAGAAAARAATAGGTTGAAATATCTTCAGAAACTATATAGTCTTCAGAAAACATGATCAGAGATACTCAAACTGTGCCCACAATGCTTAATTTGTAATAACATTGAAAAATGAATGTTCTTATAAYCAACTGGAAATTTTCTAGAGATTAGTCAAATGAGGGTGTCTTTAATTACACAAAGTATTTATAAGAACCTATTTTGCAAAAGTCTAATACAGATCAAAAAGATGTTTATTACTTATGCAGGACATGGAAATTTGTATTGAAAATAATTTTTGCTTAAGGTTCTTTCTTTCCAGGAGTTAACAAATTTAATGATTTTAAATATACAAATATCCATTAAAATCTATTAGAATACTACATTTAGGGAAAAAATAAGAACAGTTTTAACTAGTGCCCCTTGCAGTGATAAAAACCAAGTCAAATATCCCACTTCGTCATTTTTTCCAGTGCATGAATATATTCCACCTTACTAGTTGGGGAATTCATAGGCTCCAAGGCTGAAGTTAGTGAACAAAGAAGAGCTTTAGAATTGTTGGGACAAGGAACAGAGATACTAACTAGGAGAAACAAGAGATGATGGCTCTTTCTTTTCTGTATGGAGGAGTAGCTCAATTTTTCTCCCTGCTTTTCTCCCCAGTGATGGTTTCCTTTTTTGATGATGGTGGAGAACAGAAGAATATCACAAAGTTAACTTCTAAAGTGAGATAGCCAAAATGTATATACGCCATGTTTCATCCGTACTCATTCTAACTGTATCTGTGGCTGGACAGCTTCATCATTCTGAGGTATTTACACCTTCTGCCCAGTATAAAAATAACCAACTGTTTTTTCTCAGGAACAGAGTCCTAGTGCTGGATCCATATGGTTTTATATTCCTTCTCTGCCATATGGTTGAAAAAATCTGATTCAAACTGGTTGCAAGGAAAAATCTGAAGTTTGAAACTATTACATCTTAAAAAATTTGATTTGCAATTTGTTATACTGGTAATCCCCAAACACGCTGGACAGTGGAAGTGTTACTGGGTCTTTACAGATGCTCTGGTACTTTTTACACAAAATTTGCTTTCGCTTTTTCAATAAAATTCAAAGAAACGTGTCTTCTAATTTTGTTAGAATGAAACCAAACCTACCTACACATGCAACCAGRTGTAACTCAGTTAGTTAGAATACTTCTAAATAAAAAAAAAGAAAAATCATATAAGTGGCAAAAGAAGGAAAGCAATTTTAAAATTTAAAAAAAAAGAAAGATGTGTGAAAGTATATGTATCCGCTCCCTTTTGTGTGTGGAGATCTCTAGACTCTTCTCTCCCTTGTCATCTATGATTTTAACTATAGAATCTAAACAAAGGACAGCCTCTTTTTAAACTTTTACACAAGGTAATGGTTTCAATGGAACCCTCAACAAATTCATGGAAGAGAAAAGCACTGAGGGTTAGTAATTACACAGGAAAGACATTAGTTTGAGAAATCTGATCTAAAAGACTGGAGACCATCCAAGACAAGAGATCATCAGGGAAGTGTTATATATTCTAATGTATGCTTCCACTCCTCATACAGTTTTTGCTAGGGATTCCCTTTTGACTATTCTCAAAGGCAGGATATTGGATTAAAATGTATTTTGGTGTGGTCCCATATGAACTTTCATAAGTACTGCAACATCTGGCAAATGACTGTTAATGAAGGCATGCTGCAATARTCAAATACTATGACCAATGTCCTAATCCTGGAAAGCTGGAGTATGGGGAGTTATGTTCCTCTATGATGCCGGTGAAGATTGCAGCTCAAGAATAGAAATTTCTKTTTAATTTCACATCAAATAATATCTCACCAAATGTTTTGTCTAACTATAAAAATAAAACTTTATATCAGATATTCTACTAATGACACTCACATATATTTTGAGGCTATATGTGCAGAATTCAAAGAGTATTGCAAATATATTAAAGGTGCAATTTAGTACTTGCCCTTAGCATATGTTAAATCCCTATTTATACCTGAAGATGCCTTCTTGAAGAGTAAATTCTTTTAGTTAGCTTCGGAATAATCTTTTGAACACAGTCATTGATTTCACTTCTGAGTTGTACTTGATATTTCAGAATGTTCCTGTGTAAATGTACCCTAGGAAATGTTAGTTTTCTTTTTCTCAATCTTGATTTCGAATAAGCTATATTATTCACACAGTACAAATATCAATTAGCCATGCTGATGAGGAAGACCCTAATCCAATTGCCACTGTATTATCACCACAGGCAAAATGGAATCACTTATTTCAGTTCCCTCACTCTCATTCAAACAGTTTGAGACAAAGATATTGCCATGAGGCATGACCG